ATCTGAAAGTTTTGGTTTGTAAACTTTGTTGGTATTGACCTAGTCGTATTTTTTAACAGGTAAGAATACCTGTTATATTTTATAAAATAAGATTTGATTTTATTGATAAAAAAGTATTTTTGTGTATAATGATCCTGTACAATATAATGTAATATTTTATAATTAATTATTTTTATTTTGAAATTATGCATATATTACTATGCATCATTTCATTAAATATCGTATCCTATCCTATAAAGTGTTATACAAAAATATATTGTACTTGTGAGAAAACAATGCAGAAGAGAAAAATATGAAGAAAAATCACACTTTTTCTTGATTCATTTAAATATACAAAATGTCTATTTATATGTCTGTATACGAGAATATTTTATAGTATATATTAACACTAAAAAATAAAATAGATGGTGTGAAACCGAGATCTTTATTGATAGAAAGAGTTTACAATGAAGAGAGAATGGTGATGGAAAAATAATCTACCTCCATAAATTGATCCTTAAGATATTTATAGGATATTTACATAAAGTTATCCTAGAAATATAATTCTATTTGATTGGTATTTGACTATTCAAATTCTAGTGGGTTTTATCCTATCTAATCTTGATAGGACTATATCCATAATGTCTCCACGTGTACTAATTTTTATAGGACTGAATTTGAGGTATAAGTATAACATTTGCCCCCTAATGAAGAAATTTGAGGGTAGCAAAAACTTCAACAAGTGCCTCTTTTTCTTATTGTTCTGCTAATCTTGGTTTTAAATTCTACGCTAGTTTCAGCTTTTCAACCATTGCTGCTTCATTCAAAACCTTAGCTAGTAAAAACTTTTTGGGATAAAAATCTAACTCAAAGAAAAAAGAGTGCAGCATAAGTTTTTTCTCCCATGATTCCTAGCACAATTTCCTTATTTAAAAAATTTTTGCTGTGATTAATTGTTCTGCAGATTTGTGCAGATTTGTTCAGGTCGTTTCTTGATTCTTTCATATCCCAACAGTTGCATTTTCTAGATTTCCTGCTTCTTGTGCAACCTTTTATACACGTGGCCCCTATTCTTTGGTTTAGTTGGTATGACAAGTCCTTCCAAGTTCAAACCCCTATTTCCTCAGGATTTTGTGCAATTTATCCTTTGGCTTTTCTTTATTTTTTCAAGTGGGGTTTCCCGAATCTTCTTTCTTGTTTTTTATTTTGACTTCTTTTATCTTTTCGGTTTCCTTTTGTTTTCTTTCCTTTCTTTTTTCTTTCTTTTGTCTTTTCGGTTTCTTTTTCTAGAGAGAGGCTTCTCCGATTTTATGTGCCAGTTGCGTCTGCCATGGCCATTGATCCTTTTGCTTCCAGTTCTTTACCGACTTCGGCTTTTGTTGGTTCTTCTACTGATTTGTCTAGGATGCGAGAGAGAAGTAAGGATCTGCTGAACCTCTGTGAATTTTGCTTTGGAGAGGTCCATTTCGAATCTAAGGGCACAGGTTTCCTCTCTTCAAGCTTTGTCTTCCTCTATTATTCAGTCTTCTAAGGTGTCTCCTGAGGGTAGAGCCTTCGCTCTTTCTGGTAGCTTGGGTTACTTCAATCTTGCCGTCAAGCTCATCAAGATGTTGTTGTGGAGGTTTAAGCTAATCCAAAGTTGAAGAAAGTTTATGATTAAGGTCCATCGTATGTTCCTCTGGATAGATCTCTGGTTGAAGTAAAGGAAAGATTGAGCAGCTTTTGGGACGCAGAGGATTTTGCTACAACTATTCACAGTAGGAGAAATTCTATTGATGCAGAGGTTCTGAAGGTATCCCTTTTTAGCTTTTCGGACCTCTTGTTGAACATGTTCTTATGTTGTAGTGCATTGGTTGTGTTTTAAGAACATCTGCTTGCTGAAAAAATGCTTTGTTTCTAACTCGAGTTTTGGTCATGCCTAGTATTGTGCCTTTTCACTGAAACTATATCAAGATTTTTCTTAGGAAGTTGTGTTGCTTATTTATCCATACTATGAGCTTTTATATATATATATATATATATGTATATATATATATATTTTGATGAAGGTATCCTCATTTGTCAATGAGAATCCATGTTTTAACGACTAGTTAGCATTTGCCATGTCCCTTGTTTGGGGCATAACTTTGCACTCCAGTCGGTTGCTATTGGTTTATGTTGCAAAAAATCTCTTATGTCTTGAAATTTGCATTAACCTTTGTAGTCTCACTTGCATAACTTTTACTTGGGTATTTATGTACACCTAAATTTGCTCGTAACTTTTGCTTGTGTAACTTTTGCTTGGGTATTTATGTACACACAAACTTGCTCGCAGTTTTCTCGCAACTTTTTCGCAGTTTTTGCTTGTGTAACTTTTGCTTGGTTATTTATGTACACCCAAACTTGCTCGCAGCTTTCTTGTTGTTTGTTCGCGTAACTTTTGCTTGAGTATTTATGTACACCCACCCAAACTTGCTCGCAGTTTTGTCGCAGATTTTGCTTGCGTATTTATGTGCACCTAAACTTGCTCGCAGCTTTTTCACATCTTTTGCTTGTATAACTTTTGCTTGGGTAACTTTTGCTTGGGTATTTATGTACACCCAAACTTGCTCGTAGTTTTCTCGTAGCTTTTGCTTGCATAACTTTTGCTTGCGTAACTTTTGCTTGGGTATTTATGTACACCCAAACTTGCTCGCAACTTTCTTTTAAGATTTGTGCATGTAGAATTTTGAGATGTCTATCTTGCCTTGCAAATGTAGAATTTGATTCATCATTTGATGTGGTTGAATGTGATTATGACAGAGCTTCTTCAAATATGGAGATAGTTGTATTCATCGCCTTTTAACAAAGTGCTTGCTTTTCTATCTATCCAATGATAATGCTGCATAGGTATTTGAGTCACATCAGAATTGAGTTACTAGATTTTGATATCTAATACATTCTTGCATGTGGCAAATGTTTGCTTATACATCTTTTGCAAGCGCATGTTTATTTATTAGGTGCATTATGACTTTAAGTTTGAAAGTCCTGCAAACATGTACTCTTTTGTGGTAGTAGATTGCCTGTGCATTATATCATCTTAAGATTTTCTCCAGCGCAGGTTCAAAGCAGAAACAAGCTATATAGATTTTGTTATCTTAATTATTTTAGAGACATGAGAAAATTATTAGTGCTTTCAAGATCATAATTGATAAGTTTATGAAAATAATTATTTAAATATTATAAAAAGATATGAAACTTATATGGTAAGTTGTTAATTC